TGTGTTGTTAGATTTTTTGGTTTGGTTTGATTAATTTTGAAAAATGTAGTATAGTTAGTTGTTAGTGGGTATATTAAAATAATATTTAAAATAAAATAATTAAAATTGATTTGATGTAAAAGTAGGAGAGAAATGATTTAAAGTGATAGTTAATTATAATAATGTGAGTGGATGAATGATTTAAAGTAATAGCGAATTAAGGTTGATGTGGTATGTATGAATGATTAATTAATATTATTTAATATATTGATAATATTGATGATAGTAAAGTTGATTTAAAGTTGAGTTAACAAAAGTAATTGAATTAAAATGTTAAGAATTTTTTTAAAATTTTTTGTACGCAAACATTTTCAGGCTCGATCGAGCATGTAATTTGCATGCGCAATAAAGTAATAATTAACCAATCCTTTGTTTTCTCATTACTTAAACATTTTTTTCTCATCTTTTTTTCTTTCGTGTAAATGTAAATTGAGCAATATTAAATTATTAAATCCTAAAAAAAATAAAATAAAAATTAAAAGCAAGGAATTGTAAAAATGGCACCGGTACTCACATATCGAAGAAAATCTGCAGACGAGCGTCGAAGCTGTCATCGGAGATTTGCCGCCAGAAGTCATGCAGCTCTGCCTTGGTTATCCCGCCGGACTTCTGCCGCCGCCGGCGGGCCAGCGCGTCGAAAACTCCAACCGCGAACTCCTTCGAGTCCCCCATCCCTAACACACACACACAAACAAACAATTAAACACACGCATACGATTTATTTCACCATTAATGGTTAATTATTTCAATAATTTCGTGGTTTTTTTTTTCCCCCAATTCCCACTAACCGATGCATTCGCCGAAATCCTGCCGGGAAAGCAGCCCGCCCTCCGCCAGCGCGTCGAACCTCCTCTCCACCTCCCTCCACGCCGCCTCGGGACTCGAATCGCCGCCGCCGGAGGCGGCGCCGCTCCTGCTTATGAATCTCAGCCCTCCCAGTGCCCTCTGCGCCCCCGACCTGTCCCTCATCATCCTCACCCTCGCCCGCATCGCCTCCCTCGCCGTCTCCACCGCCGCCTCGTGCCGCTTCTCCTCCTCCTCCGCCGCCCACCGCCGCGAGAACATCCGCCGCAGCCTCGACGCCGCCGACGCGCTCCGCGACAGGAAATCCGCTCCCTCCGGCGCCGGAATCGCCTCTCCCTCCGCCGGCCCGACTCCGCACAGCACCACCGAGCCACCGTCCAGCTCGAGCGTGACCTCGACCATCTCCTCGCCGCCGCCTGCGGCGTTCCTCCTCAGGTCGTTGAGGTAGACCGGTAGCATTGCTCCTCCAGGCGCCGGCGGGAACTCGCAGCAGGAGCCGCTGCTCCTGAACGACGGGGTTTTCATGAAAACCACCACAATTTGTCCAGCCGAATTCAAACGCGAAACGAGAATTTCAGTCCGACAGCACTCAATCACCGATCAATCTGCCTTTTCATTATCCCCAAATCTGAAAAATCGCCGAGAAAAAATCGAATTTAAAAAAAAAAAATAAAAAATCGAAATCAAAGAAGAGGAGGACGAAATTTAGCTTGTGTCACAAGCTTCGCCTCCTAACCGAATTAATCTGTGTATGTGCACGCAAATTTCAACGTACTTCTGATCACTGCCCAGTCGTGCCTACGCGGGGTGGGTGGTAGGTGATTTTGAATTTCTTTTATTTTTTTTTCCAATATTTTAATATTTTTATTATTCCTCGATTAATTTTTTATTTTAATTTTGATTTCACCAAGTTTATAAATATTTGGGTAGGTTTACATAAGGTGCATGTATGTATTTAAATGCGTGGGTTTTTGGAGGGATAGCTGGTTTGTAGTGAAATTTTGATGGTTTTTGATGATGGTACTACACTACTATTAATATTACTACTACAATTGTACATCATAATATTGTTGGGCAAGCTTTACTTTTAAGTTTCATAAATGTCACTTTTGTGTTGCATGACAAGGTAAGTAGGCATGACATGCTATGTACATGTAGGTGTGCCACATCTGGGTAATGTTGACAATTGTCATTAATTAATAATATGCATTTTGTTCCTTTCAATTTCTTANTGGTTAATATTATACCTTTTATCTTTTTGTTTTTGCGAAAATACCGACAACAATCGAAAACATGTATAGGCGACGGATTTGGTCTAATTCGACCCTACCAGTGTGAGAATTATTTCAGTTTTACATATCCGTGCGGGTCTGTGTTGCTTCGAAAGGTAAAAAATTGTTCGCATCAGTAGGGTGAAATTCACTTGAGACTATTTTACCTTATTGTGCATCAAAATGGTGAAATTCACTGCAGTTGAGACTATATATTTTATCGTTTTCACGTTTGTCCTAATAACTCCATTAGCCAAATCTATACATATCATCAATCCATCGCTTAATTAGCATGATTATGATCAAATCAATAAAGACTTGTAATTATGTTGTAATCATAATCATGTTTTCAAAAGGGAATTTCAGTTGTACTCTCATTATCGACCAATTTTATTAGTACTATGATGTATTATTGATATTATGATACTTCAATTTGCCTTATGGTCTCTCAGAAATTAATATATTAATGTAATATTGCATATGTTTTTTCATATTTAGCTGACTAGATATACTGCTTGTTAAGTGTCATCACAACTGGATAAATACATATAATATGAAAGACTTATTCAATGGTCTTAAATTACAAATCTATCTATATATAATAAGAATTACCATTTACCAAAAATAGTAACAAAAAAAATAGGTCAGATTTAATGCAGCCTATATATAGTAAATTTTATTACTTTTCTTATTTTTTCTTTAAAAATCATACAACATTAAATGCTACTTCAAATTTTGAGCTTTAGTTCATTTTATTATTTTAAGAACCCGGCTAAGATTTATTAAGTGTGTTTGTTTTTATTTTTTATTTTTTTTCTTAAAAACAACGAACAATATTAAAATCTCAGTCTCTATATTTATAAAATCTCAATTCAAAATATAACAAAAATTTTAGAATATCGGTCTTTATATTTGCCGTTAAAAAAATATTGAACGCTAAAAATATTCTTTAAATTGCATAATCAATCAATTAATCTTAATTTTTTTGAAAATTACTATGTTTATTTTTTATTAATATACATAAAGTAAAAATAATTATAACATCTTTAGATATATAATTTATAATCTTAATATACTATCATTTGGTGTAGACATTTATTATATATCTGAATCATAAAATATTTTTATTTCATAAAATTAAATATATTTAAAGAAAATAAGAAAATTTCTTCAGATAAATCGGGTGATTGAATTAGAGTATTGCCCAGGTTGATTGAATTACTTTTAGATGATATTTAAAACAATCAAAAATATTGACACAACTTGGTCGGTCCCAGGTGACTAAGTTATGTATCAGTTTGACCACATCAAATCGATTATTGAACCTAATATAAATTTTATATTGAAAATATGTTATTACGTGAATGTGATGTAGTCCAAATTTCAAATAATCATATTAACAATACGTTATGACAATATGTTTAATAATTTATGAATATTTATATATCATTTTATTAATATTTATGTGAATTAAATAATATTTTCTTATAATATTTATTAATATACAGTAAATATAAGGTTTTCAGAATTGGATCGTCATCGAAACGATCAGGCTATTTTATTAAATAATTTGTGGTTAGTTCAGATTTTAATTTATAAACATTTTAATATATATATATATATATATATATATATAGTACTTTTTATAATAAATTTAAACAAAATGTGTTATTTAGATATCTAAACAATTTATAAATTCAAATGTTTAAACTAATTGATAAATGATTTATAAATATCTATTTTATTTAAATATGTAATTTTATTTAAAATAATTTTAAATATAACAAAATTTATTTAGAAATTCGTATTTATCCTACCAGTCCATGGTGTTGACTGATTCGAGAGCAAATATTTTATTCAAGCGAACTAGACTGGTTATAAATCGGTTCTCGGTCCATCCGGTCGGACTGTGTCCAATCCGGTTTAATTTAAAAATAATGGATAAATTATGATTAATGTTATTTATATATTTAATTTATAATACAATCATAATATTGTTTTCCCGTGCATCGCACGGGCCAACACTAGTAATAACAATTATATTTCTTGATATATGAGAGTTTGGTATGCATATACTTAAATTGTGACACGATAACCGTTTGCTATTGTCTATTGCTGCTGGATTTTCTTACCATGTTTTTTTTTTCCTTTAATTTGACATTGTATGGTTTACTTTACTCATCAACTATAGTACTTTTTGAATTATATGTGCTTTTATCTTGCATGATGGTTTTGTTTTGAAAGATTGATTACAAAGTACACCATGCAGAAGGGTTCAATGACGTAAACTACCCGGAAGTCTTTGTAATTACACAAACATGCATCCAACTATCTTGTAAATACTACCCGGAAGTCTTTTATCTTGTACTCTTATTATTTTACATTTTAGTCATGAAAGTTTTGGTATTGTGCATTTTAATGCCTAATGGATATTATATTTGAGAAAAAATTGTAATTTTAGTCCAGTAACTTAGGTTGTTTCCCACTTTAGTCCAGTAACTTGGGCCGATCCAAAATTGGTCCAAAAACTTCCAAAATGTAGTTAAATTAGTCCAATTTCGATCCCCGTCGCCAGAATCCGAATTGCTGCCAACTCAGCACATTCCGATCGGATTCCGGCGATGGGGACCGGAATTGGACTAATTTAACTACATTTTAGAAGTTTTGGACCAATTTTGGATCGGTCCAAGTTACTGGACTAAAGTGGGAAACAGCCTAAGTTACTGGACTAAAATTGCAATTGTCTCTTATATTTGAATAATTGTGCACTTTTATCATCTATGTTCATCTTTATTTTTATTTTTTTTTATAAATGTGGTCTATTTACATAGCTAAATTGAATTATTGCGAAATTTTTGTTCCTGCTTCAAAATCGTTGTATGTATTAGTTTAAATTCACAAATATTGGAATTGGTAGGTCTTGCAAGTTATAATTGGTTTCAAGTTTATATGTTGGCAATTCCAAATTTTAAAGTTCTTCCGATTGCTACAATATAGATTGAATATTTTTTTAATAGAAAAAAACTTAAAGCAAAAGGATCAAAGTCATAATAGTAGTTATATAGTTAATTGACTATAATACTTACGTTTGCCAAACTTTGGTGTTTGATTAACGTTAAGCTTGAAATAGTTCTAGAATTTGAATAACAATCTTCAACGTACTCCATAGTACAACGTACTACCGGACAAACTGAGATTTTGAGAAGCTATTTGTCTAATCAATAGGGCTACCTTACATAGAGTTGATGGTTAGATAATCATATTCTTTTTTATATATATATATTTTTAAATTGAAATTTCATACTCTAAGAAAAAAAAAAATATAACATTTTATAATATAAATATGCATTTCTACTAAAAATGTATGCGGGTCGAACTGCATAATGATTAAGTCGCCCCACACAAAAAATTATATGGTCGAATACTTAGGTGAATGAACATATAAAGAAAGAAGCCTTGGAAAGTAGTATAAGGATATAAATAAAAAATTGATAGTAATAAAATGGAAAATTTTTAATTTTGATCCGTTTACTTGTCTAAATTTTTTTTTTTGGTACATTAACTTTTCCTTCATCAATAATAGTATGTTATGTTGCAATTTATATTATTTTTGGGACATTACTCATAAAAAAACAGTACGTTATGTTGCAATTGTATCATTTTTAGGACATTAATCTCAAAAATAAGAACTATTTTCGTGATAGTGTCCCAATAGTGATGCAAATTGCCGCATAACGTACTATTATTGATGAAGAGAAAGTTCTTGTACCAAAAAAAGACTTTAGACAAGTAAACGAACCAAAATTGAATTTTTGTCGTAGTAAAATTCAACACAAAAGAAACAACAAAAAAAATATAGAAAATAGATTATAACCTTATTATTCTGTCGTCTAGACTTAAAACCTGTGATAATAACTGCTTTAATATCTCTATCCGCACGAGTTACAATAATTACATAATCGCAATAATTACATAATCACATAGCTAGTGGCGGAACTACATAGGGGCCCGTAGGCACAGGCCCCTGTAGAATTTTTGGTAATATATATATATATATATATATATATATATATATGTTATATGTATATATATATATATATGTTATATGTATAAATGTGTTATTATATTAACATAAAAAAATACATGGTATTATTATTATGCAAAGTTATTTTAATAAAAAATTAAAAATGAAATGTTTAGAATTAGTTAATCCTCAATAGTATGTTATTTTTTAAGTTGTGAAATTTATGCTTATGTTATACTCAACTTGTTTATTTCCTTTTTCTTCCCAAAATACATAAAAAAAATATTATACATAAATGTATATATTATATGGAATTGGATAAAATGTGTCATTTTCTTAAAATGAGAATTTGAGACTCTCAACCTAGCTATTAAATAAGAAACAAAGTGTCTGGTCAAACTTTAATCTTTTTTATTCTTTTAGTTGATTAAATATTGATTTAATCGTTGACTTCCAACGTTGACCGTTGATCGTAGTTTGTGCCCCCGTTGTATTTAGAGTCTGCGTCCACCCCTACGCATAGCATGAATAAAACTTTAATTCATAAAGATCACAGTAATGTAATCTCTATGTTTGATCATTTTGCTCCTCAATTTTCATTATTTAAATAATTTACAATATCATATTTTCCTATGGCAATATACAGTAACCAGAAAAAATAAAATAAAATTTGCAACTTATAAATTTTGCTCCTAAAAATAATAATAATAATAATAATAATAATAATAATAGTAGTAGTAGTACATTGTAATTAAACAAATACAGAAATATATATTTTTTTAAATCTCCTCAAATAAAAGTGCCATTATAATTATTTACAATAAATAAATGAAATCATGGAAAAATAGCTCCTCTCATATTTAGGTCCAATCTTTTCTCTCTTCTCCCCGTCATTGTACCATTTACTCGTAATGTTCATCCAACTTCCGATCGTCGCTGCCTGCTGACTACAGCCTCCGCCGCCGTGTCTCCGCCGCCACGACCTGGTGTGTTTGTGTGTATGTATTTCTCCCTTTCCATTTCACCCTTTTGTTCTATTTGTCATCTTTACGTGTCGCCGTTTGCTTGCATGCTCTGTTTCGATTATGTATCTTAAAATTTACGAGGACATGATTTTGATTCCGTTTTGTTCCTTTTTTCTTCCGCGATGTGATAATTTATTCGCCGATTTTTCTTTGCTAGCTGTGACAGATCTCCGCCATTTTTTATTCCCAATTTTTTTCTCTGCGTGTGAGCTAAAATTGGGGATTTGTTTATGAATATTTACGGCATTGTATTTCATTTGTGGCGGTGGTGTATTTGACTAAAGTGAATATTGTTGATAATTTTCATTTTTGTATTTAGATTTGTGTCCCTATACGTTCATATTTCGTTTTGATCTTGTTTGATCCTTGGGATTTTCTTCTCCAAGGTGCAAAATATACAGCATATCTTCACGATTCGTCCCAGTCTTTTTTCATATCTTAGTGGATTCTCTTCTTATTAACCTATGAGATCAAATCAAACATTCATGGGAATGTGGATTTGAGGTTACATGTAGCATTTATTTAAATGTTGGTTAATGGTGTTTGATGATGTAGCTTTTGTAGAATGGCAAAAGGGTAAATGATGATTTAGCTTGATGCTGGTTATTGCTGATTATTATATATCGAATGTACTAAGAACGATATTTTTAAATCAGCAACCATGTGAAGCCCTCTTTGGCCAAAACAAAAAAAGTCATGTTCACATGGAATCATTATCAAAGAGTACGTCTTCAGAAATAAAATGCCCGGAAATCGGATTTTTGAAGTGAAAGGATTCTCTATAAGTTCCTAGCTTGTGATGTAATCATTCTGCTTCCATGCTTGCACCGACTGTGTTTAAAATTCCTTTCTCTGATTGTTCTTTTTCTTTTTGCTCTTTGAAAAGATAATCATTCTGAACATTGTGTTGATCTGTAAAACTGCAGTGGAGCATGATAATCTGATGAGACGTGTGCAACGAAAACCCAAAGCCTGAAAATAGATCCACAAACTTGGCTTTAAAGTTTAATCCCAATCCCTCGTGTGGGAATTTACAGAAAGCATTCGTTTTTGCCTAAAAACAGAAAANAAAAAAAAAAAAAAAATGGATGACAATGTAGGAAGCAAGGTGACGGGCATCAGGCAAATCGTCAGATTTAAGGAGTTCCTCCAGAAATGGCAGCACGTAACTCTTGGCCCGAAGCCCGGCGAAAGCCCAAAAACGAGCGAGGTCTGTGGAGGCATCTCGCCCGAGATAAGCTGGAGGCTGAGGGGCTCCAATGTCCACTGTGACTCGGACGAGGACAGCTGTCAGAGCCTGGAGCTTCCGAACGATGTCCCAAAAGGGTACCTTGCCGTTTACGTGGGTCCCGAGCTCAGGAGGTTCATCATACCCACTAGCTATCTCAGTGACCCGCTTTTCAAGGTGCTGCTGGAAAAAGTCGAGGAGGAATTTGGGTTCGATCACAGTGGCGGGCTCACGATCCCTTGTGATACTGAGACTTTTAAGTACCTTTTGCAGTGCATGGAGAATCACAGGAAAGAGCAAGCTGGTCAAATCAATGCAGGTATAAATAAATTCATCTATTTTGTCGGTTCTCTTGGTTGATGAGTGTAAACTTTGTGACATTATTTATCGGGGGTGATTCGAAATATCTGGGACTTATCTTGAATGTAGTAGACTGATCTTTTTTCTGCAATGAACCTGATTTATGATGATTGTTTAAGATCGAGTTATATAGTGGAACCTGTTTTCTCGTGCGAGATTGCTGGATTTTTATTTTTTTTTTATTTTTTTTTGGAGCTTGACTTGGATATTTTTGGGATTTTTTCGCAGCTGACAACTAGTCGTCCGAGAAGGAGTGAGGAGGTCTCAGTATTGGTTTTTGAGGCTGAGCCAATTTTCTTGTGAAAAAGGGTCTGTCTTTCTCCTATGGTTTGATTTTCCTTTTCCTTTTCCTTTTTTTTCGTTTCTTGAAGACGTATTTAGGTTTGTTAGTATCGTCTATGATCATGCTATGAGCGAGAGATCACAGGCTTATCGCCCCTTTTCGTTCACCCGCTTTCAAGAATACAAGGACAGAAAAAGTGTATCGACCTTGGATCTTCGTGTTTCGAATCGACAATTTTCTCATCTGTTGAAGATGTCTGATTAATTCTTCGAATTTTGTTGATTTTGCATTATCGGTTGCACTCTTTTGTTGTTTGTTGGTGCTTTTTGTTGTCTTCCTGTACTGTATCAGGAGTATAAACAATTGTATAGTGACCTCATAGTTCTAAATTTGTACTATTGTACCAGAAGAAAATTAGCATAAAGTTTGACAGAAACAAAACTTTAGTCAACCAATAATTCTATGTAAGAGTTATTGCATTTCATTTTCTTCACAATCGTGCTTCATTGGCTTTATTCTTCCCATTTTTGTTGCTTTCACATCCAATTGGTGCATGTTGAAAGAAAATGTTGTAGACCTATAGGGCCTAATACGTAAAATCAAGCCTTTTGCGCCTGTACCACAGTATAGCATCTCACTATTCTACGAAAATAATCATTCTAAGAACACATCTTGTTATTTCAGAGTCTCTATCAAAGTACAATAAGCATAACAAAAGATAACCAAAAATTATAATTAATGTGAATCCTTTCAAGTTCATTTAATTCATCTTCATCCAATCTCACCTGAAAAAAAATTAATGAGCACAACAGCTCATGTAGTCATGTGGGCTTGTGGGAGCAAAGAGAATCAGGGGTCACCTCCACAGCTAGTGGTCCTTTGGTTTCACTTTGATTTTAACATTTGTATATCTATAGAAGTAGTATTATCATTCAAACTTTTTTATATTGAAAATCAAAATCCAATTTTATTCTTTGTATATCTATAGAAATACTTGTATCTTTCAATTTATCTGTAGACAAATTCAAGTAGATGTTTGAGTTTTGATCGTTTGTTTAATATATAAGTGAGGCGAGCTCGAGTTTTCACAAGTCGAATTGAACTATGTTAGCGGACAACTCAATTTAAGCAACAACCGCACGTTTTCAGCCCCGGGTGAATATTTTTTATACCTACGCCCTTTAATATGGTTGTGCTCCGTCGTTCGGTGCTCAGTAAGTCAGCTTCATGGCGGCGACTGGCGGAGGCGCTCCAGCTTCTTAGCAGCAGCAATACGGCTGAGCAGCGGTGGGACGACGCTACGATAGTCGGCACCAGCTCCCAGCACTTTGGCAGCTTCACGTGTGGTATAAGACATGACCACGGCCCGAACCGGCCCGTTGACCATGGGCCTTGAATATGCCCGTGGTTTTACTCGGGTCGATTCCGATTCAATCATTTAAAAATTTTGAACCAGCAGTTTCGATTTCGAACCTAAAGGTCCTTTTTTTTGGATTTTTTTATTACTTTTTATTTTTTTTATAAACCAGACTGGCCCGGAACCATCGGTTCATGAACTTGCCCAGAACTGNGACAATTATGCCTCCAACTTAAACCTCTTGTCTAGCTCATTGCCTGCTGATTATTCTTCTTGGGTCGGCCCAACAAGAACTATACAGCCATTAATTCATATTCATGTGGGCCTTGTATTGAGCTCGTTCCACTCCGTTTATATTTGTTTTGCGTCATTTTCGACTTCAGTAATCATTTCGACCCACTTTCCTATCAAAATTCAAAATAAAACACCTTGGTCATAACTTAGTAAAATCAATTAAATAAATAATAATATATAACAAACTACGGTAAAACGAGCATGAAAAATATTTTAAACTGTACGTAAAAATGACGCATGTATGCAAGATCATGTGATTTGCACATTATAAATATTAATTTTAAAATCAACAAATTCTACCCGTATGTATACACATCATTTATATCATCTATTATGATATGAGATTACCGCACCAGGTCAACTAGACCGAGAGGCAATCAAACTGAACCAAACCGGCCATCAGGTCGAACAGAGACTGAAGATTATGGGTTGAAAGATCCACAAGTCGAAGAAGCTATTGAGGAAGGAAGGGACACCAGCACGTCGAATAGAGGCCCAGGTGGGTCTGGGACACACTCAACTCGAAAGAGTACCTGTTCGAGGGATCGACCAGATGAGCAGGACAACATGCTCATTAATTGAGGAGTATTCACCTTGAGGTAATCGAGATCAAAGGCATGATTGGACCGTCTAATGGAGAGGACTAGAAGATAAAAAAAGGATCTTAGGGGAATTGAACCCCCACATGGGTAAAACCACGTGGCACCACCCGAGTGATCCACGCCTCATAACCGTCTCTGACAACCCAGATAGCTCTGACAACTCTGACAATTGAGGCAGTTCACTCGCTGGCTATCAGGGAGCTCATGCGCCCGACTTGGGCACTAAGGTATCGTTTCTCTATATAAGGGAGTGAAGTATGCCTTGAAACCATGCTTCTAAAAATTGAACCAGTCATCGAACCAGTGAAGTTACTAATTCAATGGTTTGCTGGACGGAACAACAGTCGAACCGGACAAACCATTTTAATTAATATATAATATTTTATTTATTTTATATGTGTAATATATAATTTTTTATTTATTTTATATATATAATATAGAATTATGTATATTTTTATCATTAATTTTATAGTATATGACATTTCTCAAAATAAGAGTTCAATAATAGAGAGAATAGAAACAACCCAATTTCTTATTTTATGTTTTTAATTTTTTTTCTTATTTTATTTTTATATTTAAATTTTTAATATATATTTAAGGTACATAATAGAGGGAATAGAAACAACCCAATTTTCCTTTTAAACCACATTTTAAATTTTTTATTAATGATTAAAAAATAAAAAATAAAAAAAAATGTGGATAACAAACAACAATATATTGCTTTGTTAAACAAAATTGGAAATAGATAAAGCACAATAGATAATCCACTTAAAAAAATAATACATTTTTATAACGAGTATAATTTTACTTGTTAAACCCAATATTGGCCCAATAATTTCAGTAAGGAAACACATCCCACATAGGAAATACAAGTAAAAAGAGTGTGCTATTTAAACTACTTCACAATCTACCAATTTCAAATTCATAAGCTTGAACCGGTGAACCATTCCAACCGGTCCCGGTTCAACCGGTTTAAACGGTTCTTGATCGGTTCACCTGCTTAGCGGTTTGATGGCTTAAACCGGACCGGAAATAGAAATCGATTTATTCAAAATGAAGCCACGATTCTCGACAACCAAGCCTATTTTTGTTTTGGATTGATTAGGCAAAACCCGCATTTTGATGATCCCTACCTTATTGACCGCAACTTAAGCTCTTATTTTCATATTTGTTTTTCCTTAATTTTCATTCTGAATCTACTTCATCGGCAGAAAAAAAGATTTTTCATCTCGAATCGTATTGAATAAAAACCACCTAATCTTTCGAATACTTGTTTGAATCTTTCGAATCCTTGTTTGGGAGTCGATAAATTATACGTCCTTTGGGCCTTTTAAAATAGGAATAGAAAGTCTATATCATATATCAGATAAAATTTTTGAAAACTTGGCGTGATCTGGCGAATCACTACGCTGAACACAACATCCTTATGCATCCATTTCACATGCTAGGCGTAGTTGGTGTCTTCGGCGACTCCCTATTCAGTGCATGCACGGTTCCTTGGTAACTTCTAGTTTGATCAGGGAAACCACAGAAAATGAATCTGCTAATGAAGGTTACAGATTTGGTCAAGAGGAAGAAACTTATAATATCGTTGCTGCTCATGGTTATTTTGGCCGATTGATCTTCCAATATGCTAGTTTCAACAACTCTCGTGCGTTACACTTCTTCCTAGTAGCGTGGCCTGTAGTGGGTATCTGGTTGAGCTCCGTTGTATAATTCTGGCCTAACCATTAAGTACGGAGTGGTGGGAACGATGAAACCTGTGAATACAAAAGATTTTATTGAACAACTGAATCTTACTGATTCACTAGTTGGGATGGCGAAGTGAACCGGAATTAATTTCTTAATTATGAAACTAAAATGGAATGCTTTTTTTATATATCTCCATTTCAAGGAAATAAGAAACAAGAGATTTCTTACACGTCTAAAAAGACCTTTTTTAATATGCTGAGAAACGGCCCGTTCTGCCATAAGTAACTCCCTATTATGCTGAGTACAATTCGACAATGGGTTTAAGTCAGTGATTGGAAAACTCCCTTTTCTCGATCTTGATTCGTGTAGACATATGTAGCACAATTCATATATTCGAAAGAAATTTCGAATTTTATTGAATAGATGTATCTAGAGAGAATTCGCCTTGCAGCGACTATTCCCTAGATACATGAAGGCCGGTTGAACCGGCCGGTCCGTCCGGTTTCAGAACCATGCTTGAAACACATTACATTCTCTACTACACTTTTCTTATAGCACTTCATCTTTTTCAAGTGCTAACTTAGGCATCGGGCTCTTCACCGGAGACTCTCTCCGGTGTGAGGTTTTGCAGGTTTGATAATGTTCAACCGACAACCAGCTCGAGATTCAAACGTTTTTAGATCGTTCCAGCCAGTTGGAGCAAGGGTGTAGCTAAATGGACATTAGTGTGGGCCTAGGCCCACACTGAAAAAGAAAAAAAGAATACTATGTTGGATATTAATACGCTACTTTTAATTTAAAATTACTTGAAGTGAATTCTAATATTGTTGGGTATGAATGTGTGTTTTTGTATTATATTTATGCTATTATATTTAAAAATAAAAATAAAAATACATTAGACCCGGCTTAGTTTATGAGCTAGATCCACCTCCAAACTCAGGGTCTTTGCTATACCACATTATTTCATTAAATTATTTCAAGATGGCATTATTATATTTTTTTACGTTTCTACATTGGAAGAGCGTTCTTCTTTCTCTTTTGACGTTAATGAAACCCACTGGATTCTCAATCCACAGTTGTCATTATCACCAGGCTTTTTCAAGCTACGGTGCTGTCTATGCACAGTGCAAACTTTTAGTATGCTATACAGATGGCCTCGCCTCAGAGTGGCCCACTAAATTTATATCAGCCTGTCAATAATTTACTGAAACTATTTAAAGTTAATGGATCCATGGCCCATAGATTTCCTAAAATTCCTGTGGGCAAAATCCTTT